AAAATTTTTTTTTAGTTGTAGATGGACACAATAGCTTTATTTATTTATTTATTTTATGTGGTACTGAGGATCATACCCAGTGCCTCACATGTGCAAGGCAGGTACTTCTATCACTGAGCTACAGTCCCAGCCTCTAGTTAACAACATTTTGAAGTCACATTTGGTGATCCTCTAGATAATAACTGTTATGCATATTTGATTAAGAGAAACACTTTCTTTATTTTGGTTGGAGATGAAACTCAGTGATAGAGCACTCACCCAGGGTCCAATCACAGTATAAAAAAACAACAAACAAACAAAAATATTGTTATTCTAAAGGTTGCAAAATAATCTAATAGACTCAATTCGTTACACTAAAAACAATAAAAATTTTTACAATCTAAAATAAATGATACTCCTTGAGTGAATGTTATTATCAGACTTACAGAAGTGTTATTTTAAAAACTCTAGAAATTAGAAAAAGTACTTTTTATGGTAGAACTGAAAAATTTAGATTCATATACCAAGATTGCTGTTGTTTGTTACTTTAGTAGTCTTTAGTAGTTATAGAGCTGTAGAAAATTCAAGGATCCTTGGGTTGGGGGTTGTGGCTCAGTGATAGAATGTTTGCCTAGTACATATGAGGCACTGGGGTTGATCCCCAGCACCACATAAAAATCAATAAATAAAATAGAAGTATTTAAAAAAAATTCAAGGATCTTTCATAATTTACAACTGTATCTTTTAAAATGTGTCATAGTAGAATTATTATTTGCTTTACATCAAAAAAAAAAGAAAAGATGACTGCAGATAGTTTCTTACTGTCCCCTGCAAAACCTTAGAAAGCATTGAATATTCCCCAAAAGTTCATTCATTCTCTCTTTTTGTTTTTTTGGGGATTGAACTCAGGGGCACTTAATCACTGAGACACATCCCCAGCCCTATTTTGTATTTTATTTAGAGTCATGGTCTCTCTGAGTTGCTTACTTAGTACCTCGATTTTGTTGAGGCTGGATTTCAACTCAAGATCCTCCTGCCTCAATCTCCTGAGCCACTAGGATTATGGGTGTGCATCATCACACAGGCTCATTTGTTCTCTCATTTTTAAGGTCTGTAAACAAGTCAAAATAACACCTGGTATTTTGCCAGGGGAATGTTAGAGTTGTAAACAAGTCTGGATGGTGCCTGGCAAAATGCCAGAGGGAGTGGTTTGA